TCGAAGGTAAAAACTGTAGAAAACGAGGTAATTGCATTTTATAGCTTATACTTTATTGAAAGGTTAACATTTTATCTCTTGAAACAAATGGAATTGAATGTAGACATTGATCAGGCATTAAGAATGAACAAATTGCCTTTGGAGTCAGAAAAGAATGAAATAACTGTACATCAAAGTTTGTTAGAAAATAAACTTTTAGACTGCTATGCTGAAGAAATTGTTGCAATGATAAATGCTGAAGTAAACAAGAACTGCAATGGTTGCATGATTGATCACTCCTCTCAGCATGAGCATGATTGCTTGATGATGGACCATGATGAGCATATGTTGTTGCATTTTGATGATGACTTGGAAAATGTGTCCTAAGAGATTGTGACCAAAGATTTCATGAAAAGTATTGAAGATGTCAAGCCACTCGTTAATGGACTTGAGATACTAAAATACACTTGTAACGATTGGCGTAAAATATTTGTTTCGAATAAAAAGAACAAACTTGAAACATGAGTCGTCAAGCTTTTGTAAATATGTATTTTTATTTATTCCAGTTCGATTCGAAAGTGAAACCATTACACATTGTTCTAAAAGAAATATAAGAAACATGTATGAATTTACTGCTTACATGTTAGCACTTCTGTATACATATACGTAAGCGATATAATATTACATAGAAAAAATTTTTTACAACAACTACAAACGAATTAAAACTTACTCGATAAGGTCTTTTTATGAGACGATACATGCCCACACGATGGTTTTACAAGATAATCATCACAGTAATCATAATTTTCTAAAAAATAAAATCGATGTCGCTGTTAAAGTTAACACAAACACCCTAAGGAACCGAAAAAAGACAAACGGTACTTATTGAAGGTATAAAACGATGCTTGTGGCGAGGCCATCCTTCTTCGATTGCATGTTTGGATTTTTGCCAAGTTTTTATGATGTATGCATCTCCACAAAGGCTCTCTATTTAATAAGTGGTTGAGATGCACTACACATGCGCTTGAGATGTGACCTTCGTTGCCATCTCGCAAATGTAAATTATAAATTACCATTGAATAGTATGACCTTGAATAATGTGGCGTGGGTAAGATCTGTGCAGTATCCTACTGAGGGAAATGATGCAGTAAATGATAAGAACGCTCAGGAAACATATCTAACAATGCAAATAAAGGATGAACATAATCGAGCAATAATCCTGAAAGGCCATATTTTCGATGTCAATCTATCGCCGACGAAGAAAAATGTAGCTTTTTCCATTGGGGGGACGTAACTATGAATAGCAAGATCATTAAGAAAAAAAGAAAGGTTGAACTGAATGACCATAAGAGGAAAGAGCTTAAGGAAAAGGAACCTAAAACAGTCGTCGTTTGGAAACAGAAAAAAAGGACCAACCCTTTCCAGGACGATGAATAAACACGAAACGCTAAGCAATAATAATAATAACAATGCATGCACGAACGGATGATCACTGATCTAACTATAAAAAATTCACGCAATAAATTTTTGTAATGTATCGCTGTGAGTGTTTGTTCATTACACACAATACCTTCCTGAACATCTGAAGATGCTATCTGTTTGTAATTATTCAATTACTCTGTAGGAGTTCAATGAACACATACTATAAAATGAAGCATGATTTCACAAATTGCCATTACTGCATGAAAAACATCGCCAGATGATCATGGGGGGAAAAGAGTATCTAGAGCGTTTACGTGTTCGAGCCATCAGAAAAAATGTAAAGGCAAAACGTTTTGCTGAAAAAAGTTCAGAAAGAAATCTCTAAAGATAAAACGGATATTTCAAAGTGTTAAAATGGGTAAAAAAATGAACGAAGTTGTTGCAGCAAAGTGTTGACCTTGTGGAAGAATAACATAAAAAATCAAACTAGAAATGATGAAAAATCTGTTAACTTTGTGCTTGAAAAAGTTTCGGAACGATATGTTCGTAAATTTGGTGCCAAGCCGTGTATATTCCGTGCTAAGTTAGACGATCTATCCGTTCGCGATAAGCAAATAAAAGTCAAAGACATAATGACTGAGCTCGATGGCTTGTTTGACGACGCCATTCGTCAGGTGAGGGTGAAAAAGCGCTGTGTGACACAAAGCATCTTTTTAATTTTTATATTAATGTTCCCAGGTAAAAGAACAGTAGGATTTTAGAACACAATTAGAAGATCGTCTTCGTGTAATGATTAGATTGAATGCTTTGAAAACACCAATCAGCACTAAGCTTCTTCCTGCCGCCGAAATTAACTCTAACAAAATTTTGGGTGAAATTACAAAAACTTTGCAGAGTAATGAGAATATTCCTTTGGACAACTCGTTTATCGTTGACCTTATTGGTGTAAAAGCGCCTGTTGCGAGTGTTAAGGCCTTCAAAGTCTTAGATTATTCTCAAGACAGTACTTTAAAAAAATCGATTGTAACTATCAAGATTAACGATAACCTATGCTGTGCTCGGGCTTTAGTTGTAGCCATAGGGATGGCTGACCACCATCCTAAATTAAAACAAATGAAGATGGGTAGGCCTATACAGAAAAAATTAGCCTTAAAGTTGCATAAACGTGCCAATAATTTGCCTGGTAGATGTGGATTAAGGGAAATTTCAAAGTTTCAAGGTGTGCTTTCAGACTATCAAATTATTGTAATAGACTTTGATGCACGAAACACTTCAATTTATGAGGGGCCTAGAAGAGTAAAAAAGCTAATGCTATACAAACATGGAGATCATTTCAATGTTATCAATCCGGCAAAGCTCCCAGCTTTTTTTGGTAAAAGATTTTACTGTGAACAGTGTTCAAGCTTTGTAAACAACTATATTGATCACGCTTGTTTTGATGTCTGCAATACATGCCTACACAAAGGGTGTGCATTAATTGAATTGGAGCAACATGAATTCCCTGACTGTTATAAGTCTTGCTGATCAAATGCATGTTACAACCTACATAAAAAACAGCATAGATTAAAAGGAATTGATCTTCCCTCAAAATGTGACAGCACGTATAAATGCCGTACATGCAATGTCATTGTCAACAGAAATAGACAAGACAAACACAAGTGCAGAGAATTTAAGTGTCATATCTGCAAACAGCTGGTTGTTAGTGGGCATTTATGTTTTATTAAACCCGAACCAGCAAAAAAGCCAAATGTTCAACTCATTTTCTACGATTTTGAAACGGATTTTGCAAGTGGAGAGCACGTTGTGAATTTTGCACTTTTACAGTATGCTTCAGGTGACGAATGTGTTTTCAAAGGATACAATGCATTAAATGATTTTTGTGAGTTTCTGTTTTCAAGAGAGCATATAGGCTATACAGCAATTGCCCATAATGCCAAAGGATTTGATGCTGTTACCATTCAAAAATGGCTCATACAATATCAACTGACAGCCGATATGCATGTCATTCATTCGGGTCAGAAAGTAATGCTGTTGGGAATAAGTTATGTTATTTGAATGTCCTACTGACAGAGAGACAAATTCTCCTCAGTTGTTATAATTTCATTAACCAATAGGCTTAGAAAAATTTTGATTGATGTTTTGTTGTAAAGGAGTTGAAGAGAGAGTCTGAGTGAGTGAGCAATATATGTATGAGATAAACATGGCATGAGAATAAAAATTTCGTTATTCAAAAGGCTTGAGTTGTTGCATCTATTCGACATAGTCAAAGGGAATATTGCCTGGGCGACATTCAAGATTCACAAAACGTGGCACCTCCGAAGGGATAAGTGAAAAAGTTCGATCAAGAACAAGAATTCGTATTGAAGCATGTCGAAGCAGGAAGCTGGGGAGCTAGCACTTGAAGCAAAACTCAAGCATATTACGATCACTTGCGGGAAAACTGAGAGAATTCTTGCGTCAGATAATCACGGGAGAATCGAAAGACATCGTGATGCGTTAAATGAATTAGTAAAAGAAGCAGATACCGCCAAACGTACAGTCGAAGTGTTGAAAATAGCTAGTGGCGAAAAAGTCGAAAGCATTTCCTAGTGGGAGGAATCGATAGAAAATACCATCGGTCAAGCTGACAATGCAATAGAAAAATTACGCAAGTGGCTTATGGAAGTGCATGAAAGTAAGAAAGCACATTTAAGAAAGGATCAGTTGAATTTCGAGAAAGAGTTGTATGAAACCAAGCTGCACTACAAGACGCAATTGGAAGAGTCCAAGAGGGACAAACCAGAAGAGACAGGAGAAATGAATTCTACAATTAGTGGGAATCTGGAAGCTAAACTACCAAAGCTAGTGATTTCAAAATTTAACGGAAGCTACAAAGATTGGCCAAGATTCTGGAACCAGTTCAGCGAGACTATTGACAAATCAACTATTTCCAATGTAACAAAATTTTCATACTTGAGAGAGTTGCTTGAAAAACATGTCAAGTATTCCATAGAAGCACTACATTTCACTAGTGAAGGGTATAACCGAGCAAAAAGTATACTTCAGTCTAAGTATGGAAAGGAGTCAGAAGTGATTAAAGCCTACACCAAAGAAATTCTTGACTTACCCAATATACCAGATGCCAATGTACAGAAGGTGCATAAATTCTGCAAAAGACTCACCTATTGCGTACAGTCTTTAGAAACTATGGGGAAACTGGAGCAGATCAATGGAAGTGTTGCAATGACATTGGACAAATTGTCTGGTGTAAGAAGCGACTTGGTTCGTACAGATCCCAACTGGGATGAATGGGATTACAATAAGCTAATAGAAGCCTTAACATTGTGGACTAGGCGAAACCCTATATGTGAAGGAGTATACGCGAAAGAGTATTCAACACCAAATTGGGTCAGCGGAAATGTGTATATTGTGATGCAAAGGATCACAAAGCAGCTGACTGCTCTAAGGTGACGGATATCAAAGAAAGAAAACAAATATTAGCAAAAAAGCGCCGCTGTTTCAACTGTACCGGAGAAGGGCATAGAGCAGCAGATTGTACAAGTAAAATAACCTGTCAACATTGCAAGAGAAGACATCATACTTCTTTGTGTGAACAAGCAATGGGGAAGAAAACCCTGATGACCGCAACAAAAACCAACGAAGGAGTCTTCCCAGTCTTGACTGTAAAAGTTAATGGGATCACGTGTAGAGCGTTAGTTGATTCTGGAGCAAGCAGCTCATATGCATCTGCAAAGTTGGTAAGTGTCCTTGGCATAAAACCTGCTGACATAACAACCAAACAAGTGGACATGCTCCTGAGTAGTAGTGTAGAACGTCTGGAGACCTATGCAACTAAAGTGGAGTCCCTCGATGGAGAGTTTGGTATGGAAGTAGATGTAATAAAAGTGGAAAAAAGTGAACTTTTATCAGTGAAAAACCCCCAATACAGCCATATTATTTCCAAATACTCACACTTAAAAGGGGTTGATATCCAAGACGGTGACACGAAGGCTCAGCTTCCAGTACATGTCGTTCTTGGGGGAGGGGAGTATGCCAGAATAAAAACAAAGAATCGTCCCCGAATAGGTAAAGATGGCGAACCTATCGCGGAGTTGACCAAGCTGGGATGGTTCGTGATGTCCCCTGGAAAAGAATTTGATCACAATCATATGTTACTAACACAAACCACTCAAAAGGATTATGAGAAGTTGTGCCGGTTGGATGTTTTAGGACTTGCCGACACCTCAGAACACAATCAAACCTCAGTGTATGGAGAGTTTAAGGAACAATTGGTCAGGAGTTCAGAAGGTTGGTACGAGTCTGGTCTACTGTGGCGAGGTAACCATCCTCCCTTACCATCCTACAAAGGAGGAAGTTTGCGACTCCTCAACAGTCTTGTAAAGAGATTAGACAGGGAAGGAATGGCCAGTGAGTATAACTGGATTATTGAGGAACAAGTCAGCAAAGGGGTAGTTGAACTTGTAACCCAGCCCCCAGTGGGTAGGGAGTTCTACTTACCTCATAAACCCGTGATAAGTGAAGCTGCACAAACAACGAAAATCCGTGTAGTTTACGATGCATCCGCTCGAGCGACTCCAAGTGCTCCATCCTTGAATGATTGCCTCTACCCAGGCCCGCCGTTACAGAATAAGCTTTGGAGCGTATTGGTTCATCATCGCTCGTTTCCAGTTGTACTTTGTGGAGATATAGAAAAGGCATTCCTCCAGATCCGAATAAGAGAACAAGAAAGAGATGCCTTACGGTTTCACTGGAAGAGTGACAGTCAACCTGAACCCTTGACATATAGATTCACAAGAGTCGTCTTTGGCCTAACTTGCTCTCCATTTCTGCTTGGGGGAGTGTTAGAGCATCACCTAGAAACTTGGAAACAAAGATGCCAGATATCGTTTAGGAACTGAAGAAGTCTATGTATGTAGACGATCTGCTTAGTGGGGGACAAACAGTAGACGAAGCCAAGGAAAGAAAAAGGAAATCAATCGATGTATTCAACGACGCCAATTTCAATTTGCATAAGTGGAACTCAAATGCCCATGAGCTTGAAGCAGATGAAGAAGAAAAGGATGATGAAGAAGAAACTTTAGCAAAACAACAACTGGGAACAAAATCTGGAGAATCTAAAGTGCTGGGACTGTTATGGAAACAGAAAAGTGACGAGATTTCCATAGTGATCCCATCAGAGAAATCGGCAAAAACGAAAGGAGAAGTACTGAGTAGATTGGCTCAGGTTTATGACCCTTTGGGATTACATCACCCTTAATTCTAGAGGGAAAGATAATTTATCGTGATATCTGTAAGGAGAAGCTCTTGTGGGATGTACAGCTAAGCCATTCTTTGAAGTATCGATGGGACTGCTGGGAGAGCAATCTTCCGTGTGAAGTAAGTGTTCCGCGATCATTAGCTGGTTCCGAGAACCAATCAAGTCTTTAGAGCTGCACGCATTCGGGGATGCTAGCACACAAGGTGTAGGAGCTGCAGTGTACTCAGTTATTCATCAAGAATCGGGAATTACTCAAATTCTAGTTGCTGGTAAAAGTCGTCTGGCAAAAGAGGACCTAACTGTTCCACGGCTAGAACTTGTGTCAGCCCACATGGCAGCAAACCTTCTTGTGAATGTGCGAAACGCTTTGGATCATTTGTCGCGGCCGCAAAGTTTTGCATGGCTAGACAGCACTGTCGCCTTGCATTGGATACTTGGACGGGGCCAGTATAAGCAGTTTGTCTCAAACCGTGTCCGTAAGATACACCAACATCCTGAAATAAAATGGCGATATGTGCCCACATCCGAAAATCCTGCAGATTTGGCCAGCAGGGGTGGAAAATTAAATCAGACGTGGCTCTACGGTCTAGAATGGTTATCTGATATGAGCAGATGGCCAAGTAATATAACCACAACTCCAACTACTGCAACAGAAGCAGAAGCGACAGTCTCCCAAAAAAGTATTGCAATGACAACAAAACAGTACAGTGGTGATGTTCTGGAACAGTTATTAAGAAAATGCTCATTTAAACGAGCTCTAAGAGTGTCGTCATGGCTCTTCAGGTTCGTAAACAATTGTACACAAGGGGAAAAGAGAACAGGACCATTATCCTTTACCGAGATTGAAGAGGCTAAGATGAAATTTGTCAAACAAGCCCAAAAGCAAGGTCAATTACAACCAAAGTACGAGCAGCAATGCAAAGAACTTAATCTTACGCGCAATACAGAAGGGATTTTACAATGTCGTGGCCGAATTGTGAGTCAGTATCCTATCTACCTTCCCACAGATTCCTTGCTAGCTCAAAGAGTAGTGGAAAAGTTGCATCGTGAAACGTTACATGGAGGTGTTGGATTGACAATGGCTGCTGTAAGAGAGACGTATTGGATACCAAAGTTAATTAGCCTTGTAAAGAAAGTTAGAAAGGAGTGTCTTGGTTGTAAAAGATATCGAGCGACATCAGTTCCCACATCCCCTCCCAGAAAGTTACCCGAGGACCGGACTTGTGGCGAAACAGCGTTCGAGGTAATTGGCGTAGATTTCGCGGGACCGATACGTTACAAAGGGAAGTCAAGCAAGGATTGCAAAGCGTATCTGTCGCTGTTTTCATGTAGTCTAACTCGAACAGTGTACTTGGACATGATGCCGGACCTATCTGCTTCCACGTTCATACCAAGTTTGAAACGGTTCATTGCTCGGAGGGGAAGACCCAGGAAGATCTATTCAGACAATGGGGGCACCTTCATAAAAACTGCGAAGTGAATTGATGCTTTACGAAAGGAGGAACGTCTTCAAGGTTATTTGGAGGAGTTCGACATTAAATGGCAGTTTAACTTGTCCCGAGCACCATGGTGGGGAGGACAGTTCGAGCGGCTGATAGGAATTGTCAAACAAGCGATGTATAAGGCAATTGGAGGCGCAAATCTGAAGTGGGAAGAACTGTGTGAAGTGATATTGACGTTGAAGTGCAAATCAATAGAAGACCGCTCAGTTATGTTGAAAGCGATGTTCAACTGCCGGTGTTGACACCCGAGCTCTTTTTATTCCAGAGATCCAATCATCTGCCAGAACAGAAATTATGGGTCGAAAGTGATCCGGACTCACGTAAGAGGGCAAGATACTTGAAATCTTGCAAACAAGCCTTGTGGAAAAGATGGTCGAAAGAATACCTCACTGCACTGCGAGAACAACATAACATGAGTCATTGGACTAAAAAGTTCATTGTAAACGTAGGAGACGTCGTTCTTATCAAATCCAATGAAAAGAATAGAGGGAAATGGCCTCTTGGGATCGTTATAGAGACATATCCAGGAAGAGATGGAGTGATACGTGGGGTAATGTTGAAAACGCCAAACGGAAACCTAGAACGACCAGTTCAATTGCTTTACCCAATGGAATTAGCTTGTGATCGACAGAGCCATGATGAGAGACCTGATCTTAATCCAGACACTGAACCATTCAAGCCAAAGCGTAAGGCAGCTGAAAATGCAGCGGGGATCATCAAATCGATTGCTGACGAAGAAAACGAAGAGATTTGAAACACTCCCGAGATCATTAATCCATTTAGATATACATCTTATCTTCAGATGTATAGGGGAAGTGTGTTGGGAATAAGTTATGTTATTTGAATGTCCTACTGACAGACAAATTTTCCTTAGTTGTTATAATTTCATTAACCAATAGGCTTAGAAAAATTTTGATTGATGTTTTGTTGTAAAGGAGTTGAAGAGAGAGTCTGAGTGAGTGAGCAATATATGTAAGAGATAAACATTGCATGAGAATAATAATTTCATTATTCAAAGGCTTGAGTTGTTGCATCTATTCGACATAATCAAAGGGAATATTGCCTGGGCGACGGGCAAGATTCACAAAAATGCAACTATTTTTAAGAGATTACCAAATCACTCTAATCGACTCGTTAAATTTCCTAAGTATGCCTCTTTCCAATTTACCTCGAACGTTCTGGTTGAATTTGTCGATGTATTCGAAAGGCGATTTCCCTTTTAATTTAACACACGAGAAAATCAAAGCTATGTTGGTCCGATTCCGGCTCTTGAATATTGTAGCCCCGACATAAAGCTAAAATGTAAGAGATGAGCTAATTGCATGGCATCAGAATTTAATTGATGTTAGGTACGTTTTGGACTTTCAAAAAGAAATGTACAAATACTGTTCTCAAGATGTAACTATTTTGCATTTGTGTTGCATGGAATTCAGAAAGTTGTTTTTGGCCGAAACACATGTAGACCCATTTTGTTATTGTACAATTGCATCTTGGGTTATGGCAGTGTTTAGTTCATACTATTTAAAAGAAAAAACTATAGGCATTGTACCTAAGAATATGTATCGTGATAGCAATATACCGTATTCAAACAGCTCCATTGAGTGGCTGCAGCTTGTTTCCTTTCAAACAAAAAGCAATATCAAACACGCTCTTCATCATGGGGGGAGAAAGTTATTTATGATCTGTTGTTAAATAAAAATTATTATGTCGACGATTTTTGTGAAGACACAAACACCGTGTATGAGTTCTACGGAAAAGTATATCACGGCTGCCCTTTATGCCTGGATTTGAAGAGTGAAAATCCTTACCGTAAAGGTACAACGCTAAGAGAAGCGTATAACCGAACCATTGAGCGTGAAAAAAGATTAACAGAGTTAGGATATAAAGTAAAAACCATATGGGAGCATGATTTCAAGCAACTCAGACAAACTCCTCAAATGCAGCATTTTTTAAACACACATGATATTATAACAGACCTTTACCCTGCCGATAGCTTTTTTGGTGGAAGAGTTGAGGGTTTTAAGCCCGAGACACACTGTTACGGTGAAACGACAGAGCGACGAAGCGACACGAAAAATGATAACAGACACACTGTCGCTAGCGCAACAGGCAAAACGACTTGATTTTAAGCACATACCAGTCCCCCTAGAGAGAATTTTAGCGGGAAATACGAATTTGACGGTTCATTTCAGTATGGTGTCGAACCAGAACTTACGAGATATATTAATAGCAATTGTTTTAAACGAGTTGGACGAGGAAGAAAACAAACAAAACCGACGGGTAGTTCGTAAGAGGCGCTGCTGGGTGAGAGATATCAACCAACGACAACATGAACAAGGTGACTTTGGAAACTTGGTTCAAGAATTGAGGAATGACGAAGAACAATTCTTTATTTACTTCAGAATGAATCAAATGACCTTTGATTTCCTTTTGAGCTTAGTTGGTCCTTCATTAAGAAGGCAAAATACTCATTTGCGGCAGTCAGTTTCACCAGGAGAAAGGCTAGCCATCACTTTGCATAGACTGGCAACAGGAGATTCGCCTCAGTCAGTGGCCTTTGCATATCGTCATGGTTTAAGTACAGTTCGCAGCATAATATACGATACATGTGAGGTTTTGTGGTCTGTACTTATGCCAATGTATTTAAAAGCACCATCGAGTGTATTAGAATGGCAGGGTATTGAGCAAGGGTGAGTTTCTATCTCATTATCATGTTGATTTATTGCACGGAGTGAGTTCCTCAGCTTGAAACAAAGTTTCTTTACTGTTTGTGACCTAGTTTTTCAATTGAAATTGGTTCTCTACTGTCTGCAATTTTCCAAATTGTATTGGTGCTTTGGATGGGAAACATATTGCAATTCAGGCTCCTAGAAACTCTGGCTCAGCCTTCTTCAATTACAAAAAGTTTCATTCCATTGTGCTGATGGCAATGTGTGATGCCCATTATCAGTTTGTGTATATTGATGTTGGAGAATCTGGCCGGTGGAGTGACTCTGGAGTCTTCGAAAATACAACATTTGGATCAGCATTCCTAAATGGTATGCACATGTAATTGATCTTAAAATGCAAAACATATATATTTTGTATATATACATAAAGTGCAATTTTTTAAAGGAAAAGTCCAGTTACCAGACCCAAGACCTCTGATAAATGATGGCAAGAAGATGCCATATTGTATTGTTGGGGATGAGGCTTTTCCATTGAAGACATGGATTATGCGACCATATCCTGGTAAATCTTTGGACTGTGTAGCAAAAAAAGTATTCATTTACAGATTATCAAGAGCTAGAAGGACAATTGAAAATACATTTGGTAAACTCAAATAAAAACATTGTTGTATACATCAATACTTCATAATTTGATTATGTCAATATTTGTAGGCATCATGGTTTCCAAGTGGAGAATCTTGAAAACTGCTATTGTTGCTGAGCCAAACAACGTGGTCAAATTGGCTAAAGCTATATGTGTCCTTCACAACTTTCTGCGAAAGCAATCTGCAGCAAGTTACACACCTCCTGGCTCGACAGATACAGTGGATGAAAATGGCCAAATAAATGAAGGGAGTTGGAGAGCTGAGATGGAAAAAGCTACTCTTCAACCCATTGCTCAGAGCTCTGGAAACCAAACATAAGCAGCTCTTAGAGTAAGAGAAGATTTTGCATGTTATTTTATGTCATCTGAAGGAGAGTTATCTTGGCAAGTGGATTATGTCCTTCGTACATCATGATCATAAATAGAATATTTGGAAAAGAGTCGGTTTATTTTGTAGTTTTTTTGTTATTTGAAAATAATGATTGTAACAGAAACACTTAAAAAACATCAAACTAATTTTCTGGAAACTCCAGCTTAAAAAGAACATCCTCAATCTCCTTCTTGGCTTTAGCCCTAGCATATGGAGTAGGTAGCTTCCTAATTTGCTCAGCAACACTCTTTCCGAAAAATTCATATTCATCTTGACTCTCTGGCTCTCTGACGACAAAGCGACATGGCTTTGTAACCGCGCAATCCCGTCGCTGCGCGGTAACGACATAGCGACAGTGTGTCTCAGCCTTTAACTGTTTCGACACAGCGACAGTGTGTCTCAGCCTTTAACTGTTTCGTAAGGCCGAAAAAAATTAGAAAATCTTTTACAACGATTTTACAAGTCTTTATCCATTCGTTATGAAAAATCGCCGTTATCCTATAGGTCACCCTACAATTATTTGCTAAAATTTTGAAGATCTTTCAAATTACTTCGGTTTCATTAAGTGCCGCGTTTTGGCACTGGAAAGCTTGTATCATCCCGTGCTCCCGATGAAAGTTAATGGTAAATTCATGTTTCCGCTGTGTAAGAGGTGTGCTATGAATGCCTCTGCAGAATGCCATCATTCCAAAAACTAGCGTTCATTTTGTGGGACTTTCACGACCATTGAAATGAACATGGCAATCGAAAAAGACTACAAAATTTTGGAGGTGCATGAAATTTGGCATTTTGAAGAAACATCGGACAGTTTACTTAGTGAATATGTCAATTTCTTTTTGCGGTTGAAACAAGAAGCTTTGGGCTTTCCAGATTGGGTAAACTCAGACGCAGACCAGGCAAAATATATCGACGACTATCTAAAGCATGAGGGAATTCTATTGCATAAGGAAAAAATTGTGAAAAATCCTGGGTTAAGAGCGCTAGCAAAACTTTGTTTAAACTCGCTGTGGGGTAAATTTGCACAACGTTAATTACGGAGTTTATTCACGATCCACTTGTATTTTACAAACGACTAAATAGTGCAGACACTGAAATTCACGACATGCAATTACTGAATGACGATTTAGTCGAAGTTGTATACAAGCGTGATTGGGAGTTTCAAAAAGAAAATAAAACAACAAATATTTTTATTGGTATTTTTACAACTGCATGGGCACGTTTGGATCTCTACAGTTTGTTAGATTTACAAGAATGTAACGCACTGTATGCAGACACAGACAGTTGTGTGTATGTTGCAAAGCCTGATTCTCCAAAGCCTCCTTTAGGAGACTATCTAGGAGATTTGACCGTTGAAATTGGTAAAGGCGAACACATTACTGAATTTGTCTGTGGCGGTCGTAAGAATTATGCTTATACAGTTAGTAATGGCAAGCAACACTGTAAAATAAGAGGCTTTACATTGAATTTTAAATATAGCTTGCTTTTAAACTTTGATACGTTAAAAGATATGATTTATAATTATGTAGAAAAACTGTCAACTGTACAAATAGAAGAATGTAAAATAGTCAGGGAGAAATGCTCGCATAAACTTGTAAATAGAAACGGCTATCATTGGCTATCATTGGCTTTATTGACTACGGCTATCATTGGTTTCCGACAGCGGAAATTTCCAACAGTTTACATCAGATCGCACACGAAGGCGAGGCTAATGATATTTTATTCACATCCGTGCATCCAACCGCACTAGAAAATTACAAGGAATGTATGGCAGGTCAAGGTGAATGTAGTGAGTCGATTGATTTAATGGAAACCGACTCTGAAGTCGAAGAAAGCTTTTCCGAAAGACAATGCGATGTGGAGTTTCTTGACGACATTGATCACTCCGACAGCGAACTTTCGTTTTACAGGCAGATTGATAATCAAGTATAGAGTCGACACAGGTAAATTAATAAAGTGACATGCATATAATCAAACAGCGTTGAATAGTTAAACACTTTTGAATCAATGACAAGCAAACTAACAAACAAATATATATATTTTTAGACTGAGGTTGTTTGACACATTTCTACACTGGACAAGGCTAACCATGATTGAACACGATATGCAGTCAATTTCTGTCATCGGTATGTACAGATGGGAACAGCGACAACAATTGTGAACCATGCAATACATCAACATTGTACAGACAAATATGGAAACTATCGTAGAAGGAACCAACACATAGAAGTTGACAGTTTTTTCTTTCGCTTGTGGAACAAAATACATAAACGATGAAGACGATACCATTGATTCTGACGGTGACGGTGATGGTGATAACGACAAGGAGGGTGATGACTGTAAAGACGAAGACGACAGCTGCGAATGAAACGGTGGTGATGTTGATGAGAGTGGTTGTAACAGTGGTAATAACGATAACAGATGTGATGACTTTGAAGTTGAGAATGATATCGTTGAATGTGGAGGTGTTGATGACGTTGACGGCGACAACAGCAAAGATTTAGATGATAATAACAGCGACGGTGATGAGGTTGATACGGAGGTTGACATGTTAAAAAAAAATCAGCGAGGGGTGAACATAAAACTTTCGGAGGGACGACGGAACGTGAGATGATTTACACGGGGTGGACATAATTAACGACGATGGAAGAAGAGAAAAACTGACGGATGACTTAGGTAAATGATTCCTTGTGGTTGACGTATATGAAAACAGTTGTGTCACAGACGAAAATGAGTTCACAGACATCAAATATAAATCTTTTTTTCTGGTTGGACACGGATCATACAACACATTTAACATTGAGAAATTTACAGGACAGGACAGGACAGAGGGTTTTCACGTAAATCAATGTACATAAGTCTTGGGTACGCATGAATAACATCCAGTTCGTTCACATGCCGCCATAAGAAAAAAACATACAGACAGCAAGGAATTCATTATGAAAAATTGGAAAAAGTACAAACAACTCTTGTGAACTATGAGTGTTGTGAACTATGAGTGTTGTGAACTATGAATGTAGTTACAAAACGAATGAACGATTAAAAGGCATGCCTATGCTTGTGAGGATTTTAAAGTAAAACCCTCAAGTGGTTTTTAAAATTTTCTGTCATAAATATTTGTTAAAGTATGATGTGTTCATATGTAATCAAAAGAGATTTTGTTGTTTGATTGATGTAGATAATTTGAAATATATTTAGTAAGAATTGCTCATTGTCCAATGTATTCTTAATGTGTGCACTTTGTTCATTATTTTACAAATACCGCCCCATTCAAGCCAGTCGAATCATTCCTTCTTTCTTTGAATATGTCAAAATGTTTACTAGCGAGTGGTTATAAAAGTGAAAGCAGAACATGTTTGCTTTCATTTGCGAGACAATGGACGTACGTTTTAGAACACCTGCCAACTTTTATGTGTGTGGTCAAAGTCAGTCGGGCAAAAGCTATTTGGTTAGGTCGATGCTTTATAATTTAAACGAACTTTTTATCCCGTTCTGAATAAAATTATTTGCTGTTATGGCGAACGGCAAAGTGAATTTGGTGAAATGGAATCAAAAATTCCAAACATTTGCTTCGTCGAAGGATTCCCAGACAACTTATTTGATATTCTGGAAGGTTGTCAAAACTCTTCAGTGGTCGTTGACGATTTGATGTCAGAATGTTCAAGCGATCAACGAATGTCCGATTTATTTACCAGCGGGTCACATCACCGTGGTGTCTCTGTCATGTATCTAACACAAAATTTATTTCCTCCTAGTAAACAATCCCGAACAATCAGCTTAAATTCCCACTACATGATCATTTTTATAAACCCCAGAGATTCGTTAGGTATCGCAACATTGGCACGCCAAATGTACCCCAAGAAAACGAATTACCTTTTGGAGTCATTTCAAGATGCCACATGTCAAGATGCCCTTACAGTTATCTTTTGCACGATTTGCATCAACTCACACCTGACAATATGTGTGTCAGAACAAATATCTTGCCTGGTGAAAAGCAGATTGTCTATGTACATAAGTAATAAGCATCGACATCAACAATCATTTAAGCATCATGTCTAAACGAATTAGGAGCAACCTTCCATACCTGCAAGTACTTGCAAAATCTAAGCCAAAAATTCGAAAGGTTATCATCGAGCATGGACCATCTGATGTCATGTTGTGCATTTGTGAATGCACAGTTAATGTGTTTAAAGGAACTATACCGATATCTGCGAGTCAAAAACGACGCTTGTCGAGGTATAAGAAACATCTCAGAGCCTTAGCGAACAAGAGAATTTCAAGAGCTAAAAAGAAAAAACTTTTAAATCAAAAGGGAGGCAATCTACTGAGCGCCTTCCTACCGCCGGTTTTGAGCATACTAGGGAGTTTGCTGAAATAATGAAGCATGTCAAGCAAATGATTTTAGTACCTGAAGACGTTTATAATAAATATGAACAAAAGCAAAAATTTGAAGTTTCACCGATTACGATGAACATGATGCAAAAAGATACTCAACTCTCACACATCCTTCACCAAGACGGTTTAAGTGACGATCAAAGGCAAAAACTTTTCAACGCAAACTTTAGCAGTTCCTTAATTTGAAGCAACAAAAAGATATTCAGATACCCACAGTACGCGTGGTGGATACCGCCGACGGGAAAGAAAGAAAACTAACCAGATGTGTTACAAAACTAACCTTAATCTCAACGTTCCAGTTTTTCGTTTTAACAATATATTCAGCCTGTAAATACTTTCATCATTAATTCTAACTACTATTTCATCGTAAAATAATCTATTCATAAGTGTAGAAATTGTATCACAGTATCTTACAGGGGCTTGGGAAGCCGTGGGTGTCCGGGTGCCAGCGCACCCACAACTTTTGGAGTGTGGGTGTTCTCTATTGGAAAGGCACCCACAAATTTAGCTTCTGGCTTGAAAATATATGACATATTGCATGCTGAATTTTTGCAAGA